TAGCTCCACCCGAACTCTATTCGGAACGTGGTCAATATCATCTCCCTTTGCTTCGAGTATTCCCAGCCTCTCGACCTTGACATTTTTGCCTCCATACTTTCCATAAAGAAGAATGCTTCTAGCATTCTCCCCGAGCACAGACGGACTTACTACCTGTCCCCTCGCCCGGGCTACAAACTGCTACATGACCTCCCCAATAAAATCCCGGCCTGGAAACGGGATTATTTTGTAGTTCGGAACCTTGCGGGATGGCCCTTCCCTACTCACTGGAGGGTGGCCATTTAGGACTCTGGCATTACGTTGGACCGGGATACAAGGGAGACGCTCCAGTCTTGGGCGGAGCTCGGCTTCGACTACAAGGACTTCATCGCCGAGAACAAGCTCATTGAGGCCGGTCTAAGTCCTGGTAGGTCGCCTTGTTTAGAGTTAGTATTTTTCTTCGGTAGCCAGTTTCTACTTCTTAGTAGCATTACTGGCGTCGAACTCTGTTGCAAGTCCTATGGAGTGACTTTGTGCAGAGAAACTCTTTGGAAAAAATGAAGGGGAGAAAGAAGCGAGCTACAAAGAGAGCTCGCATTGAATCTCCACGGGCTCCTACTCCGGAGCCCGAATAGCCTACTGTAGCTCCTCCGATGATTCACTTGGAGGGGTCAGAGAACCTCCCACCTCTGGAGCCCGAGACGATTGCGGAGCCCGCTCCCGAGACCACTGCAGAGCCCGCTCCCGTGCCCGTCACTTCCTCAGGGAGCGAAGGAACAGCTCAGAGCATCTTGAACCCGCAACACAACCTTCGGAAGAGCAAAGGGGTTGTGTATGCCGAGGAGGTCTCCGAATGGGCCGAGCTATCGCCTTCTCAGCTCGGAGCTCGGGCAGCTACCCACTCTATGGTGGTAAGTCCCGTTATACTTCAAACTTCTGCAATTGTTTCCTTACTGGTGCTAACTGGCATTCTCTTGGCAGGTGAACTCTGTCGTGCATGCCTTGACTCTCCAATCTGAGAGGCACTTGAAGCGAGCTCCGGCTGTCGAAGACTCAACCTGCACAGCTCACTCCGATCTGAAGCTAGCTCGCGGCCAAATCCATCGGCTGGAGGGCGATGTGCTAGCTCAAAAGGAGCTAGTTACGTCGCTGATGTCAGAGAAGGAAGAGTGGCAGCGCGAGAAGGAGGATTGTTGCGCGAGAAGGAGGAATTGTTGCGCAAGGTGAAGAACCTTGAGTCGGATAAGGGGACTCTGAGGCGCCAAGTAGAGAACCTCGAAGCCGATGTCAAGGAGCGAACTGATATCTTTCTTGGCGCTATGGAGGAGGCCAAGGTCAAGGCCGTCCAAGACTACGTCAAGTCGGAGGAGTTTGACGGGGTGATGGTGGAGAACTACCGCAAAGGCTTCAAGCTCAGTCGGTGGCTGATAAAGCGCGAGTTCCCGCAGCTTGACGTAAGCGCCATCACCACCTCACGAATCACAGGAGAGATAGCCTGCGAAGCCGCCGAAGACCTGGACTCTGAGGAGGAGGGTGATGATGTTGAAGAGGCCACTGCCACCGATCAGGCCGACACTTCTGTGGAGGCTCCGAGCGAGAAGTCCCCCATGTAGTTCAAACTGTCCTTGTACTTTGAGCCTGTGAGCTCAGTTCTTTCTTTCTTTCTTTCCTTCTTTGTAACAAACTCCTTGTAATGAAATATCTTTGTAATGAAAGTCCACTTTTTGCAAAGCGTTCCTGTAATTTACCTTATTTTCCACCCCGAGCTACTAAGGTATCGAGCTAAATACCCGAAGTAGGGGTTTCTTGACTGTCGTCACCCCAAACTGTCTCCCAGTACTTGGGGGTGATTCTATGATGTACACCGAGGTGAGCGACATAGTGGGGTATATGCCTGACCTGTCTACAAGTAATATTGCCTTAGGTTAACAATACTCCATGCCCGAGGTATTTGCTTCCCTTCTAGGGTTTCGAGCTCATCCGTTCCTTCCCCGAGCACCCACTTTACTCGATAGGGTCCTTCCCAATTTGGCCCGAGCTTACCAACACTGGGCTCAGGTACCATGACTTTACGAAAAACCTGGTCTCC